TTGGGACCGAAGGATTATGTCCTACGATCGTCCTAGTTTGAAAGTGACTTGTAAGAGGTATAGCCGGTTGACATATTTGGCCCACTAACTTGTTCATTGTTTCATTCAACGTCTTTAGTTGTTTGGCCATATTGTCATAGTGTGCATTACCACTTTGTGTAAATCTTTCCATATTATGAATACTTCGAAGATTTACCTGTTCAACGACGTCTTGCGTGAGTTCTCCAAGCAATGCACGCATGGTTCGAGGACTCAGCTCCGTCATTGGTTCGTAACGACTGTTACTGCTCTGATTTTGTCCATCTGTTCGTGGAGAGGCATGTTGCTCCTCATATCGCTCGATTACAGACTGGATTCCTCCCTGACTTGCTCCTTCCTTGTCGGATCTCTGAGGCATGTTGTTTCACCTTTTGCAATTTCAACACCTAACACCACTGTCCCACCGGGCGTGCCAAATTGTTTCGCGCGGGTTAATTCGCTAACAATTAAAGAGGATCAGACGATTGTGTAAGGGACGAAACCTCTTGAGACAAAGTCCCAAAAAGGGGTGTTCTTTTTATTGGCGATGAACTTTACAATTGGAAACGGAAAACAACGTGCCTCCAAGGAGCGCAAGCACACGAGTTACAGAAAAGGAAATGTTTAAGTCTAAAAGCTAAATGAATGAAAATTACATATTCTCTGTTCGAGAGTTTTGGATTCGGTCCCTTGCTTCTAAGTTCTTTCTCCCTTTTATACTTCATAGGCGATCCCTTTGTGATTAACTGCTCTAAAAAACTGCTTGATCGCCCTATAACTACCCACTTTCTTTGTAGTGGCCATTTTGTCATGAAACTGTCTTTTTAACTGCTGCCATTATCTTGCATCGTTCAACCACTTTCGATTGAACCCCTTGAGTCGTGGAACGTGATAAAGTCACTTTAGCAATTGCCTCAATAACTGCATCATAATGCGTTATGTTTGTTGATACCTTGGGCGACTTGAAGATTTGGGCGAGACTCTGGACGACCGTCTGCCATTCTATTCGTTCAGACTCTGAGCGACTTGCAAACTTGGACGATGGGGTTACCGCACTATTGAGCCCCTTATTTGGGTATTCACCTTGACTCGTTCAATTGAGTTTCGTTCTTTGGGCTATCTGATTTGGGGATCCTCCAATTGGACTTTACTCTCTGGGCTGTTCGATTTGGGCTGAATTTTTATGTGTCAACACAGCCCCTCTTCAAAAATTCAAATGCAAACGGTAAATTATCCTCATAAATTAATATCGATAACACATTAACACCATTTTACAATATGCTCCAGGTGAAACCCTCGCCACACATCTTTGTGATGAAGATGTGATTTTTGTTGAAAATGGTGGAAAATGAAGAAACTGAGAAATTGCATGTGGGGGGAATTGCACCTTTACACACATATACAACCCTCATCGTCGGAGGAATTGCATCGTGGTTAACGGTAGCCGACGATGAATCTTCTGATATGATTTTTGGAGGTTGGGGGGATAGGTGACTCTTCTGATCTGATTTGGGGAGGTTAGAGGTAGGGGGTTGTTGAAGAAGATGGACTTGGGACTTATTAAATGTTCAAATTGCCTTTCACTTATTTAGGGGAAATTGTTAAATTTTTAATTACTGGGGTCAACTAACGATTTTGATGGTCAAAGAGGCGGAAATTGTCATTTGGACTGCATCTGCTAATTTTTTCAAAGATTTGGTACCCCCGATAACACAATTAAAAATTTGAACAAAGTGTGCTAATAAGCGAAAGATTGCTATGATTTTTTCTTGGAAATATTACGAGGTCAAAGTTAGACTCAAGTCAAATAATTGACCAGATGGTCAAACCTGAACATGGGGTCACATCTATACATATGTCCAATTGATTGATAGAGTAAATTTGATTCTCTTTGTCCGTACGAACAAATTCTTTTTCATTATGGCAAACAGAATGGAACAAATAGTAAACCCTGTTCAGTGAATTATCTCAAAACAAGGGATCCTTTAGTTAATTAAAAGTCAAAAATCCAAATTTGACCAGGTTTGGCCATGTACCTAGAATACTTTTATGTTGCTTATACTTTAAATTCTAAAATTTGTTTGGTTTGATATTTTTAAAAATTATTATTGAAAATTAAATTAAATATATAACATAAAACACAAATTATATGTTTGGCATTTCAAGTATTTTCCATGAAAATACTGAAAAACTTAAACATGAAAAATAAAATTCCATTCCTCACTTTAAAATAAAATATGAAAAAAAAAAAAAAAAAAAACAGAACAACGTGCCCATATACCCAATCTCTATCTCTAATCGTAGTGCTTTCCAAGAACAGTGAATGCGCAAGAACTTTAGCACTTCCAAGTGAATCATCATAGCTCATTGTAAGCCAATACTCATTAGATGCTGGCTGTTAAAAACAGTTTTTGTAGCCAATTATTTGCTACCACCACAATATATGCAAACAATTACGACAAACAATTCTGTACAAATAGATAAACCTTTGAATCGCTGTGCGGAATGTGCGGTCCCTTATTTAAAATAATGTTATTTAGACCATACTTAATTGGTCCAATCAAATAAATCACGTGACATTACATTTAAATAATCCATTTAATTACATGTAATTATTATCTAAATTGATATTTAGCACCATAGTAAAATTGCCCTACACATCAAACATTACTTTATTGTTTTTGTATAATATAGACGTTTTACACTGGGAAATAAAAAAATTAAAGATTCTCCCTTTTACCCCTCGCCTCCAGTTCAATGTCTAAACCAGGATTAGAGAAAAAAAATCTCAGGTTACACAGCTTTCCAAGACTCGAGAGTTGGAAAGCTGAAAACGGAGTCATATTCAAAGCCACCAGCACCGGACGGAGACGGGGGAACATTGCCCGCCGGTAGCTCAACAGATTGAGATGAAGTGGACCCCACTTGGCCCAGCAAGAAAGCTGAGGTGTCAAGGGTTGGCAAGCACCCACCATCCTGCATGTGATTCATAGCTCTTGGCGGCAGCGGCAGCGGCTGCGGCTTCAGCACTTGTGCCGCTGGATTTAAACCGCCGAATCTCAACCCCGTCACCTGCTGGACCATCTGCCTGAAATTCGCCGCATCAGCCGTGATAAACGTCGTTGCCGCCGCCCGCTTCGAGGTACGTGACTTTCTCTTCGTGATCTTCCCAGCCGGCGCTTCAAAACGGCTTTTCGCAATCGGAACTCCACTTCCTAAACCACCTGCCGCCGTGGGTGTCTGCTCCGGCCTTATTTCGGGAATAACCAGAAAGGATTCGACTGTACCAGTTGAAAAATCATGACTAGAGTCATCATCAATTGATGGATTTGTGAACGATTTCTTCAAAGCTTTTGTCAGTGCTTCTGTTTCTTTATTAGAAAAGATATCGAAAAACCAAGAATCGGAAAGTGTTGAACGAAACGGCGGCCATGACTTTTCCATCGCCATTAAATTCTCAGAAGAGGCCATTTTTTGAAAATACCCTGTATTTCTTCCAAAACAAAAAAACGAATCAACAAATAAAACCCAAAATTTTTGTGAAGAAAAGAAACAATTAGTTCATGAAATGAAGGAAAATACCTTCTAAGGTTGAGGGTTTAATGAATGATAAGAGTGGGGAGGAGATGGGCAGAGGTGTGAGCAGAATAAATAAGGCTGTGGCGGGTAAGGATTTAATTGACCATGGTTTAACTATCGGGTTGTATTACATGTACGTCAAAGTATCCATAAAGGTATTCACTCCCACATGGAGAGAGTTCACTTCGAATAAATTGGGATGGTGTCACACGTACATCAAAGTGTCCATAAATGTGTCCATCCCCACATGGAGGAGCCCACTTTCGAAGTGAGTCCCTTTATGTGAGGATATCGTATTATGTACAAGTAGTAGGATATCCTTAATTACAGTTGAGTGACGAAATCACAGCCCAGTACACTGTTTTGCTTTGAGGGTCAAGCAGAGTCGTCGGCTCCTATTTGCATTGATTCCCTCCAGCCGATGCCAGTTTTTGGTGAGAAATTAATGATTAGTCAAAATTCTAGAAACTTGGTTTTTCATTAATGTCTAACGACTTATTAGTTAATAGTCAACCTAGAAAAATTGGTAATATTCCAGTGACTGAATTATCCAAATGATTATTGAACTTTGCAAAAAAAATTTATAGGGTTACTGAATTTTTAAAATCGTCAAATTCATTACTGAACTTTGTAAAAAAATTCACGGGTTCATTGAACTTTAAAAATCACCTCATTTATCATTGAATTTTACAAAATATTTTTACGGAATCACTGAATTTTGTAAAAAAAATTTTCATGGGTCACTAAATTTAGTGATCCCTTGGAAATCTTTACCAAAATTCAGTGATAGATTTAGTGATTTCTAAAGTTCGGTGACCCTGTGAAACTTTTTACAAAGTTCAGCGATTATTTTGGTAATTCAATCATATTTCAGTAGAAGAAAAATAATTATTCCAACCCCGTCTATGTAGCATCACTTGATGAAAAATAACAAAAGAATCATGCTATGCGCCCCACCTATACTAGGGGGACAGGTGTCCCCCTGAGAGCGTACAGGGTCAAATGGAATAATCCTTAACCAAATTAGTAGTCAAGTCCTTTTAAATGATATTAATAGTTGGATCACGATTTTAATAATATTTGTAAAGTGTTATTCATAAAAATTCATTAGAGTTGAAATTGGAATTGGAACAATGAACCCTATTCTTTTTCTTGGCGTTGAAAATATTTGTTGATATTTTCAGTTAAATCTTCTAGAGGTGGTTGGAAGAGAGCCTCAATTGATAGAAAAAAAATTCACAATTGCTTTAGATTACACTTTGTAATAATAAACCCTAGTTTAAGTTTAGGTGGTAATGAATTTATCATCACCCATTAAACAAATAATCAAGGAACTTACTGGAATAATGCTATTCGCAGTGAAAACTACCAGCAGTTGTTCTATGTGGCGTACATTTGACAGTTTTTCATTTAATGTATAATTCAAAAAATAACTACCATATCTATGTATGCCAAATTGCTAAGTGTAAATACCAAATTACTAAGTGTATGCCACATAAGGCGACTACTAGCAGTCTTCACTATGAATAACATTACTCAACTTACTGCTATCTAAATGGAGATTGTTAGTAGTGACTAATAACATTTATTCATTTGCTTTTCTACTAATAATAAGAGTTATGCCATTTTACCAAATTACTTTACTATAATCATTGTTAGAATAAGTTGGCAATTTATGATTGGATGGTTGGAGTATGTTTGTGGCCCAACTACAATAAATGTTGCCAAGTGCTAATCTGACATAATTTTGATTAAATCAATCTGGTATTGTAGCATAACTCTCATTGTAATATTAATGTGATATTTATTTTTATTTTAGATTAAATCTTGAGATATGAAAGTGTAAGAAGAGAAGGGAGCAAATTCCTAAAAATATGAAATCACTTTCAAAAAATTCATTCTTTCATGATCAAAGTTTAAACTGTTTAAGTTATGAAGTGGTTTGAACTTAAAACAAAGAATCGTGAAAAAATATCATATTGCCACACTTGGTATGATAGATGTAAATACTAAAGGTTTGTTTGAGCCTACTTTTTTGAAAAATGTGTGATTAAAAAGTACAATTTTTTTTTTAGTTTTTGTAAAATTATTGTATTGGGAGGATGTCTGATTCAAAATGAATTTTAGGAAAATGAAACTCAAAAATGGACTAGATGGATCCCATATAGTGCCAAGATTAACAATGAAATTTCCAACATTCCCAACAACATTTTGGCTAAAAAAATTTAAAATTTTGCCAAATGAAGTAAAAACATCATATATTTCAAATTTTGAAGAGTGAAAGTTAACTTGCTTTCAAAAAGATGCGAGTCTTCACTTATGACATCGATTTCATATCTTTTCAATTTATGCATTACAATTTTTACCTTACAAAAGTTGTACTACAATTCTTTCAAATAAATAGTAAATAATAATTGTCCGAAGTATTTTGCTGCTTGTAACATTGTATTTAGCTATTAACGGTGCATTCATTCTGTCAAACTGTATGTACAGATTTTTTGTACATATAGCAAAATCTTTGAGCCTCTATTGACATTTCATCTACAAAAAAATTTCAAAAAAAAAAAAAAAAAAAAAAGATGAATAATAAGGTGTATGTATACAATAACAGGACGAGCCAGGTAGTGAACTCAACAGAAGTAAGTAGCGCAGGCACAATGAGATTGATCGGCTTCCATGGCACTGGACTGAGCGTATTCAGCACGGGTTTATACTTGCTCTCTGGTAGCTCTTTTTGGTTGTTTTATTATTCATTCGTTCCATGATTAAATGTAAAGGTACGAATAAATATTGAAGCTTTTGTTTCGGCTGAATTCTTTCCCTCTGTCACTGTGTTTCTTTATATTTTTGGGGGGACACGATTCATATTTTGGCGTTTTCTTTGTGAAAATTGTAGTGTCTAATGATTGTTTGGTGCTGGTAGCATAATATTCTAAAGGAGAAATCATAAAAAAGAAAGTGCTCTACCTAAAAGGTTAATAATCCGAGAAGTAATCAATTGTCCTAAGAAGTTATTTTTCAGAATATATATATATATATATATATATATTTGTATCTAATGATTTTGAAAAAAAGAGAGCTGACTTCGTTCGACAAGCCCCAAGCTGAAAGCCTGAGCCAAGCCTTGATTTCCTGGTCGAGCTTCAGCTTGGGCTAAAGAAGTCCAAGACTTTTTTTCCCTCTCAAGCCTTTTTTACTCGAGCTGTGATCGAGTCGCAACCTTTGGCTCGTGAGTTGCTTGATTCGACTCATTTACAACCTTCGATCAATGCATCAAAGAGAATGAGGTCTAGCGCCTCGTAAACAAAAAAATACTTGTGAGTTCTCACCGTATGCATATGTGAAAAGAAAATTAGAAATTGATCTAGTCCTTCTCTAACCATTGAAGAAGGGTATTGCAAACATATGCTTGTCAATTATTTTCAAATTTTAAGAATTTCGAAGTAAAAAATTAATAACTAAAAAATATATATATATAAGTAAAAATATTGTCACAAAAATTTTTATTTTTCATTATTTACGAGGTCTTCTGATCGTTCTAGAGCAATAACCCTTATTCCACCTTAGTAATATTCCTTAATCCGATTCCTAAAAATCAATATGGAGTAACAACCGCGTCTTAATAACAAGTCTAACTTTTAGTGGTTGTTTGGTTCCCTTTAATTGGAGAGAAAATGAGTTTTGAATAATATTTTTAAGAGAATGTGTGGTTAAAAAGTATGAAAAGATTTTTGGAGAATGTATAGAATATTTTATTATGCGAATGTATGGTTGAAAATGATCAGATAGCAAACCATAAAATAAATAATGGAAATTCAACAAGCCGTTAAAAATGGACAAATTAGCCTATATTTGGCTTATGTTTATGTACTGTGTATAATAAACATTCAAATAACTTTTTATCCATAGATTACGATGAAATCAAAAGTATTACCAATTTATTTACCACTTATTTTGATATATATATATAATTTAAATTAGGTCAAATTGTCGCAAAAGCCTAAGACCTTTGAAATACTAGAAGCTTTTATCTAAATCTTTTATTTGTTGCAGCCGTCATCTATAATTTTCACAAAAGTTGTAGGTGATGCCCTTTTAGATGGTTTCTATCCAAGATGCCGTCAGTTGACCCAAAAAATTAAAGTCCAACAATTTTTTATCAATTAAATGAGGGTAAAATAGTAACTTTACAATATTATCATATAAAAATAATTCAAATAATTAAAAAAAATGGAAATGAAAAATAATGTTTGTCTTCTCCCAAAATCAAACTAGAAAAGGCCCACCACCTACCCCATCCCACGCCCAAAACCCAAGAAAAATAGCTGCTGCCCGCGGGCCACCGCCAAAGCTCCGTTTGCGTTTCCATTGAAGGTAATCTGGGTAAAGCTCTTTCATGGGAAGCTGAAGTTCCTAGAGCCTTCCACTTTGTAATTTTTACGAAGGTAGTTGCTTTGCCCATTGCCATTTAGTAAACGAGTTATGCTACTTGTACAAAATTAGTTGATAAAGTTGGTTTACAAAACAACATTTATACCAATCATTTCGAGAACATTTTTCTTTTTTTGAAATTATTTGAAATCAAAGGCCAAGATTCTGTCAATACTTGTTTTGTCAACTTGATTTGTACAACTAAATTAATCGTTAGTAAACCCACTTGTAAATGTATATGAATTCTATCAGATTTTAGCTACCATGTCCAGCCCTTGGCCGTTGACAAAGACAGAGATGGTTTTCCTGGTTTGTTGTGGAGGCTGAGGACATGAGCGAGGAGTGGGGTTGGAGAAGCAAGGGAAGAAAGTTTAAGATTCCGTTTGATTTGGATTAAAATCTAATTTTAAACTAAATCCAAGTTAGACAATCAATATTAATTATATCTTTTATGAATTCCA